TGTCAATGGTTATCTATCTATCTGTTTCTTTTTCAGAATATTGTGCAACATGTATCTGAGGCAATAGAACCAGGGAGCAATTTGCATGTCCTATACAATTCAATTTCTGTCTCAGATTCCAACTTGAAAGTAAGAATCAATTAGTAAGAAGAAGTTTTCATTCATTAACAATATTTCTAGACTTAGGTTTTCTTCTGTTTTGAAACGATTTGTATATCCCTAATCTAATTTAATATTTTCAGAATACAATTATACACATTGTCGATGATGAATCTGAGCTGGAGATGATAGACGAGGTAAGATGATTTTTCCTTAATTTGTCTGATTCTATGAGTACCGATTATGACAGATTTTTGATTAATAATGTTGGTCTTCATGGAACTCTAGGTCAGTAATGCTGATGCAGTAATAGAAATGCCTTCGGAAGAACTTGAAGAGAAATTAAATGACCAAAAAACTGTACACACAGAGCATGTGTAGACATAGTTTGAATCAATTAAATTCTTAAAAAGCTTCAGATGTCTTGACTAAGTAGAGCAGTTAGGAAAATGGTATGAGACTATTTTTAGATGCTCAACATTCTGATTCACTGTCACTGTGGTAATCACCCTGTGATCTAGTCGCAGCATTGTTTCCATACAAAGCAATATTTTGATACTATTCCTCTTGTCATATATAAGTCATATGAATTTTGTATAATACTAATTTGTATATAAAGCAAGATCGGTGTTTGTATGAGATCTGTTATCATGTTTTTCCTTAATTTTAAATGTATCATATTTAATAAATTATGATAGCAATATGGCTTGTTTGATTTCCCGCCTCCGGTCATCTCGAAAAAAATGTAAATCTTTGTATTTGAAGTGGTTTTATGATGAAATTAACTCCATACTGTGATGCGAACATTGTGCAAGACAGCGACTGCCGAAGTCAGAGAGTCAGAGTGGCAACCATTCCCCGTCAGCGTTGAGAGTATGAGGTTTCTGCGGGGTTTCACGAGGTTTTCTAGCTTTGGCAAAACTGTTGAAACGGGATTATCCATAATTGAGTTCAACTTTTGAAGAAGTTTTGAGCCTATTAGACGTGCCACGTTGCAACTTCTTTTGCTCTTTTTAAGGTCTGAATCACACGACCTTCCTACTGTACGGGATTCAACGAAAGGAGGAGGGGAGGAGGGGTGAGGCGGTACGAAGAGGGTTCTCTGCCCCACCCTCCCCCTTCCCAATCTGACACACGCTGAGTTCAACTTGGAACTTTCCACGGTCGCGTCCGAAAAGAGCAAACGACGCAGAGCGCGCAGAGCCTGCCTATGTACGCGCGCGCGAGAGAGAGCGATCTTGTTGTCTTTGGACGCGACCCGTTTTTGTGCGCTCAGGCGACGTGGAGGGGTGATGGTTGCCTAGCAACGCCCCCCTCTCCGGCTGGTGAATGGCCTTTCTGGGAGGTTCGAGAACGTGACGAACTCAACGGAGACCGGAGGTTATAAATACAGCCGCGCTGCCTACCGCTGCTACATTTGGGCCCGGACTCTCCGACGCTGCGCATCTCCCGTGAGGCTGCTTCTTCTCCTGTGCAGGATGGTTTGGAAGATAGTTTTTGTTGGTTCAACCACAAACCGAGTTTTCGAGCCGAGTTGTCTTTGGAGCGATGATTGAGGAAGGTGCGAGTATTAAGGCGTTTCTAGGCAGGTTGTATGAGGTATCGTATTATCATCGATGAGCGTGGTAAGGAGGCAGCTGTTTAGTAATTTACTTATTTTTCTTTTCCTATTATTTTTGTTTGTTCTCCAACGAAGTGGGCCACATCTTAGTGAATGCCAGATTTTCTCAACGTTTTCCTTATGATTACCTATTTTCTAACCTCTTAGAATTGCGCAATAGTAGCAACCCCATTAACTTTATCACTTCTGGCAATGGGGTAAATTAGCAATGTGGTCTTGCGTTTCTGGCCCCCTTTAAATTCCTTGATTCTTTTCCCTTCGTTTACCGTCAGAATATCTTTGTTCACCGCTTCTTGCTTTGCCAACATTTGGCGAGCTTTATGACGGCCGGCGGCCATATTGGATTTCCGTGAAACAACACAATGACGTCATGAGTCAGGATTATCGGCTGTCGGTAAATGAAGGCACAAGGCCGTAAATTGTTCATGGATCGGTGACGACCAAGTTCCATGCTACATTTTTATCGCCTTGACTCTGCCCTCAGATTGTATTTGAAGCCTTTGACTCATGAACTCATACCTGTTCCTTATTTATTAATTAAATTTAAGTCTAACCATTCCGCTCTAGGTACTTGATCATTGAGCTGTCACATAGTGACAGCCACTTGTCAACCATTTCTTTTGTTTACTCAAAGCGTAGCGTTGCGAGACTAGAGGACGTGTGAAGCCAGATTAGCGGTGTTCGAGATGGTGGCCTTCTGTTCATCGCCCTGAGAATGATTGCCAATCACTGGGAATCAGTTCTTGGACCTTAGTTTCGGGAAAGTTCATCCTCAATTTGCAACTCAGAAGTGCATTCATGGACATTCTTTCCTGGGATCCAAGTGACTGTACTTGTGGGAGCCACCGTGAGAAGCCGCCGTCCTCTTTAACTGGAGGGGAACACCGCTTCATGCGTCATGAGTGTAATAGAAGTTTAAATGATGAACTCTGTTGTAGCTCCAATAAGCTTTGATTAATATATGTTTTGTCTCTAGTGCGACAAATCTGTTAGGGAATTTGTGTGTTTCACTCCGGAAACTTGTCCCATTTTAATTGCGTAATTTCTCATGCCTCCCCTTGTCTTGGTGTCTTGTTGAATGTGAATGAAAGGTCGTTTTTGGAGTAATAATGTCAATGACAAGATCATTTGGCAGATTGGATCGATTTTCTTTTCATCAGTTATGTTTTGGGTCTCTAATTTAGGGCTTGTATATTTTATTAACAGTTAATTTTATCATTTATATGTAGCTTATAGATGCATTGTTTTCAATCATAAATCATCTAGCCCCTTCCAGTTCGTTGTGGGTTACTGTACATCTGATAATGTAGGCCTCATTTGTTTCATCCGCGGCTGAATAGGAAATGCTTGGTTCTATATGGTGATTTAACCTGTTCTGTTCCATACATTTGCTTGAACTTGGTACAGTCTGGCATTGGTTGAGGTTTTGTAGTTGTATTGAACCTGTCTGTTCCTTCATGACAGAAATGGTTTGAAGGAACCCCCTTGTTCATGTATATTCTTAGTTGCGACAAATAGATTGATTCCGTAAACCTCATCTTTACATCTCTTTACTCTGACCCTTTGGGATAAAATCCCCCTTAATCAGATCAAAATGATAAGAATGAGCAGTGATACAAACCTTGTCCGGAAAACACATACAATTTTTAAAAGAATTTTTTTTTTAAATACTTAAAATTACTTTTTGTCACAACTACACACAGATTTGGAAAGAAACAGTATATATCCGCTGGCTGGTTTGTCTCACTTCTTGTATATTCATCACTTAAGTAATTCTGAATTACTTAAAAGCCAAATAGAAAAAAAAAGAGCATCAAAAAAAAAAAAGGAAAAAAAAGGAGAAAAAAAACAATCTCCACCAAAAAAAAAAAGAAAAAAAGAAAAAATCCAAAAAATAATGGAACAACAGTAATTACTGCATTCCATAAAAAAAAAAAAATGATGCTAACACTACTGCATACCTCAAAAATTTTTGCAAGACTTCCTGATCATTGATGTCTAACAACACATGAGCAACTCAAGGTAGGTTGACTTATGTGCACTTATCTGTATAACTCATTGCAGCGTTGTGTTAGAGTAACTGCAACTTTTAGCAGGCAAGGTGATTTTTGTCCACTGTAACTGGCATTCCGTGGATACTTTTGATTTAAGAGAAGCCAATGCATCATTTTGTATTGGTCAAAATACTCTTAAAGAGTGATAAGAAAAGGCAAGGATTGGCTCAATATGACAAGTCGGAGAAGTTGTAACTGAACTTATTGGCCAGTATGAAGTGAAAACGATGATGACTCTTTGTTTTATTTTACTGAGTAAAAATGTTGTATTTTGTTAATGTCCTATTGTTACACGTTTTGTTTTCTTCTCGATCTCTTCTGATAACTAATTCGTTCAGATCTCAAAGACTACCCTTTGACCCCCCACCTCTGAAAGTTTTTATTTTTACGATTTAAAGACAGTTGACTCCTTTTCCCCTTTTAGGGCATGCTCATATTTTACTTTTTATTTTCGGTAATCTAATCTAAGCAACACCAGATGCGAATTGTTACGAATAGGCCTATTTGGATAAACATTATATCTTTCATTTTAAAAAGAAAGGAACTCATTGGACTTAAGTCAGAAGGTTAATTTTTGATGAAACTGATGGTCAAGTAAACTATAGTGCCTTTATCTATTGCTAAAAAACGCATGTTAAGGCTTGAGTTAAGGTATTACTAAATCTGTGACATTAATGTTCTCTGTTAATGAAAAGATAAAACCTATACTTAGTGGAACAAGTTCTAACGTATGAGATTCCCTTTTGATTGGCTGTCTAGGATTTGACAAGTTCGAGGAAAGGTACGATTGTTTAGTACTTCGGTTCTTTTTATTCTTGTTATTATTTTGTTTTTCATACGACTATTTTAGTTTGTCGTTTACATTGAAAGCTGCTTTGCCGGGTGCAACCTGCCCTGCACCCTAGGTAGTATATTCAATACCTTGTGGAAAACAAAGATTGAAAAAATGTACATGGCTAGTCCATTGTGAAAAATAGTAAGGTTTACAGGAAAAATTTCCTTGACGCCAGCCGTAAAATTACAATTTGTAATTGTAAAAATACACACAGTACGTATTGACTTAAAATACGGTGATGAGTATAAAATGTGCTCTCGTCAATTTAAAACTTAAAGTGTAATTCGAGTTTAGAAACATTTTGTGAAATTTACGACGACATTTTTCACAGAGGTCAAAAGTGAAAGTAATTGAGTCCAGTAAGAGAAAATATTGCGGTGAATCTTGTATAATCGTACCATAAGTGAAAACCACCCACAACTAAAACCGTCATTATGTCAAAATTCTGATTGACCGTCGAGGTATATATAAGCTCTTAATTAAAGTGACAAGGTACAGAAATCATCTTATGAGTGAACCAAATATACTTACTATGAGCCAATGCGCTGGTTGTGTGTACGTAGAGATCAGAGAATGTTTAAGATGTTTGCTTCGAATATTTATCATATGGAACCGAAGTTAATTTTATTGCGGCTTACGAAGTGTTTCTTTTATGTAAGTGCTCTCAAAATAAGTTTGAGGAATGGTCTGGCAGCGGGGTGATGAATTTACGATGCATTTTTATCTAAATCGCATCAAAAATAAACGAATTTATGCTTGAGTAAAATAGGGATAACCCTCAAGGTGTAAACTCACAATTTGACAAGGTGCGGGGATACGAACCTCGACTAAGTGACCTATGAGTCATGTTTTGTTACGCACAGCGCCTGTGAAAGTCGAGGTGTAGGCAACATGTTTCATGGGTGGCACGGGTGTCGTGCGGGCTTGCCTGCGCAAAGGCGTTCGGCTGGTTGTCATGTGGTTACATCTGCTGCACATTTCTCTACCGAATCCGCATGGGTCGTGATAGAGTTAAAAACATATTTTTGGTGTGAAATAAAACAGTTCGTGCCAGAGGCGGACTGGGGCGCCCGGGGCCCAGGTGGGAGTTTGCCTACAGGGGCAATTGCCTATGTACAGAGGCCCCAGCTTGAAAAGGGCCCGAAATGATACCTTTTGATGGGGCCGGGCGGCACATCCCGCCTTCCCGCC